CTATTCTATTCTATTCTATTCTATTCTATTCTATTCTATTCTATTCTATTCTATTCTATTCTATTCTATTCCTATTCCTATTCCTATTCCTATTCCTATTCCTATTCCTATTCCTATTCTATTGGACCAGCCTATTTCCATTTCAGTTCTTTTACTCTCTTGATCATATTGCATATTTTCATTTGTTCTCTAATCCACATGCAGGTCTTTCTATCTTGTCTTGTAATGCTGTGCATGATATGGCATACGCTAAATAAATAAATTATTTAGTATTATGCCTTGGCCTGAATCCTGACTGAAAAGGATCCAGAAAATCTGTTTTCTCCAGGGTTCTCTGGAGCTTCAGCCAATCATGTTCTTAACAACATTCCCTAAAGATGGAAAGTTGGGACCGGACCAAATTGTCTGTTCTTAGGGTTTTTGAGAAAGGGATGCACCAGTACTTGTGATAAAACCACCCCTCTCTCAAGGAAACTGATATCACCACTTGCTCTCAATACTGTGTCATCTGCCAAGTAGCCTGTATAAGTCAAAAGGGATATAGCTTTAATAAGCAGGAGAGACTTGGCTCTAATAAATGGATTTACAGTCCAGAGGATCCTCTCCAGGTTTTTTTTTTGAGAATTATATGCTCAAATTCATTCTAGCCAAACCCACAGAACTGGGTTTCAACAGGACTTGCCCAGTCAAATTACATTTTTTAAATTACCATGAAAATCCATGCATCTCTTTTAATGCTAATTTCTCCCAATATGATTTAATAAGCATTCTTAACACGGGAGTTTTCATAATCAGTGTTTGTGAGGATAAGTGATACTGCGTGCATTCTTCATTTTATACATTTAATTGCAAGCTGCAATGCAAAATTAGGAAAACTCTATACATTGGCAGTGGGTTCCAGTTTGCATATATATTCCGGAAGTATATCAAAATGTGAGCTAAAGAAGCTTCTCTGACTTCATTATCTCTGACTTATAAGGAGAGGGAGAGACTGTGGGATGCCTGCAAATGCAGAAACACAATCCCAATTTTATTATATGGGGATTGTGTGGTGAAATATAAAGTTTCTTGGCTTTGGCTCAGGAAATCCCAATATTGATGGGGAGTGAGATATGCACGCGTACTAGAGTTACCTTTTCTGCCTGCAGTATAAAATAGTACAGACTTTAGCTAAGCTCTAACAAATTAACTTGCAGCAAAGAATGGCTCTAATCAGAGTAAAAGCACTGTTGAAAGCCATCAGTTTTCTGGGTGTGGGAGAGATGGTACCTTCATTTGCAAACCTCCCTAATTAAACCAAGAGTTTCTTTCAACTACTACAAAAACAATAAAAAAAGAACTATATAGGTTATCTGAAATCCTCCATTGACACTTAAGGAAAATCTCTCTTCCCCCACCTCAATTCCAATTACGGCAAATCAGACAGGAAAGCAAGATGAGAAACACAATATTCCTGGCAGTTTTATGCAGGATCTACTGCATGGTAGCGGTAAAGAGCGACAGCTGTCATTAAAATAGTCCAAACGACTCAAAGAAGTACAGCGCTGACTGCCTTTTGGACCCCCATTCTGGCTTCCCTAGGAGCAGAATAGGGGCTGTCTTCACTGAGAACTTGGGAAGGGGAAAGAGATGGGGTGAGATACATCTCCCCGACAGCAGCTACTGGCATCAGAAGTCCAATCAAACAGGTGAGAGCGAAGAAGTGCCATCAAAAGAACCATTATTCATCATTTCTCCCCTCCTCAATTCTCTCCCTTTTCCTTATGGGGGCTGGGAAGAGAGGAGACCCACCCTCTGGTTACCCTGGGCGAAAGGGAAGTAGGGAAAAGGAGGGAAGAGGAGGGGTGTGGCCTGCAGTGCACCCAGGGAAGCAAGTCTGCAATCTTCCCCCCACCCACCCACCCGTGCAAGATGGAAGTCACTTCTTGCAATGCTCCTCTCCCTTAAAAATGCTCTGGGGTAGCCTTGAGCTGTGTAGGAAGCTTAGTTTAGGGCATGAAACACATATCCAGTGTGCTCTATAGCAGGGATGGTGAACGAGGGCCATTTTGTAACTTGTGGACTTCAACTCCCAGAATTCCTGAGCCAGCATGGGTCATAAAAGAGCCACGATTGCTCTACAGATCTGTTGAAACTGTATTTTAAACATACTCCCTTCCGCTGAAGAGCTGCAGCACATAAGCTGTTTGAGGGGGAGGCAATGGAGCTGCTATGGGAAGCTTTGAACAGGTGACCCCACTTTCTGGCGTCTGGAGAGCTAGCATTCAAACAGGCCGATTCCCCCTCCTTCCCTCCCTGCCACCGGTTGGATAGAGAGATGTCTTTGTGACATGTTGCAGACTGTTCCCTTAAGGTCTTGGCAACTGAAATGGCTCCGGAGAAGGAGAATGGCAGGGTATGCCTGCAGTAAGGCCTCGGGTGGTCAGTAGAAACAGGGCAGACTCCTCTCCTAAGTACTCTTCAGAATATTTTGCCACAGTTTGAGTGCTCGGTATAGATTTTTGCACCAGAAATGAGAAGGGGGGCGGGGGGGGGAGGAGAAAAGCCATTTCTAAAGCACAGCAAGTATGGTAAAAGTTGTCTTCACAGAGGGCTGTTGTGCATTTATGTCCCCAACAAACAGTGTGTGGAGCAATTGTACAGCAAGGCAGGTAGGATGTTTAGATAAGTCCCCTCCCCTTAATCAAATAATGTACCAAGTCACGTGGGACCTGCTTTCTTGAGCTGCTTTCCTCATACAGTCACAAAAAAAAAAGGGTATTCAGCACATTAGCAAAGCTAGTTGCAAGAATCTTCCCAGTCTCAGAATTGGCTGAGAATCCATAGAACATTTATTGTACAGGTTTAATAAACACATTCATCAATACAGATACTGTGTGTTATATTACAAATCAAACACTCATTCCTATGCTCACAACCATACTATTAATAAGTTCTGAATATCCTTATTTGGGGCATTATGTATATAACAACAGTGGGGAAAATTGCATTTTTGTGGAGGAGACAAATAGCAAAGAGCCAGTCTAAACATATTAAAGAAAACAACTGTACTCGTATACTTACTTTCCCATCTCCAGAACTGCAGAGGAATTAAATGCATGCATGCTCTATTTTTCTACTTTACTGTAGTATTTCTTAAAATGTTACAACACAAAACAACTCTTCAGTGGTAGATCCAGGAGGATGCTTGCTGGGATTACTATTTACAATACCCAAATGGGGTTCTTTTCTAGGAACGTTTTACAAGGAAAGTTCCATAGTGGGTGATATATACAAACCCCTTTTAATCAGAATACTCACTGTCAAAAAATAATTGGCAACAGGCCGTGGCATTCTTGGGGACAGGAGTATTGTAATTAGTCAGGGAGTAATTATCAAAGAGATCTAGCCACTTGATCTGAGTTTGGGGAAAGGAACTTTCTGGAGAGGAGCAGGGCCAGAAACAATGGTTGCCCTTAATGCCAGGCCTCTCGTGGAGATTCGGCGTGGGTTGCTGGTTTTCATGGGAAAGGAACAAGAGTTTAGATTTCTTGGCCTTTCTGTCCTGGAGACCGCCTGCCCTTTTCTCACTCAAAACCAAAGGCCTCAAGCTAACACTACCAGACTCCCTCGTTTCCCTACAGGCGTATTCTGCAATGGAGGCTCCTTTTCCTGTTGTATCCTGCTTTACATTAGCTCTGGAATATTTCAAACCGTTTCCTTTCCTGGAGGGGTACATTCTTTTCCTCTGGCTAGACAACCATGGCTTGCCCTGTTTAACTCTGTTTCCTTTACTTTTATTATTCATCTTGGCTGGGATTAGTTCCTCGCTTTTCCCATCACCGGCACGGTTTCGCACAAACCCATTATCCATTTCAGGATGGTTTAGCTGCAAATGTTTTGTAGCGCTGTAGCCTTTTGCTTGGTTGTTTCTCTGGATCACTTTCCTCACCGGAGTAGCTTCATGTGGCTCTTGACTAAAGGACCACTTTCTCTCTTGGCTTTTTGCAAGAAGGCTTGCACTGCAGCAACAAAGCGTTTTGTCAGCACTGGGGCCTCCCAGTGGAATATGGCTCTTCTGCCACGTGTCAAAATTGCCTTTACTTTCTGATCCAGCCTTAGTAGAGATACCTTTGTTTGCAGGAGAGATGTTTAAAACATTCAAGTGGCAACTATAAGATAATTGGTCCAGCAGAGCATCTGGAGAAGTCTGGGAGCTGTTGTCCTTGAGATGATGAGATTCTCTGGGTGCAGAAATGAATGCCTGTAAGTCATTCAGAATTTTGGAAAGCTTCATGTGATCCAATTGTTCACAGATCTTCAAGTGCTGCTGGTTCTGCTGAACTGTAAATTGCTCCAGACTATCTTTGAGTAATTGAAGGCTAGACTTCAGATCTGAGATTTCTGTGTCTTTCTGTGGAAAGGGGTCATAACAGCAGAGAAAACGGTTAAGATGGGTTTAAAAATGCTTTCATTCCAAATACAATACTCTCTCCACTGAAGGGCATTTCAGGCACTGTATTTTCCTTATATAATGTGTGGGAGAAGGAGGTATATTTCTTTTTTATATATATAGGTGAGATATATGAAGAGTTTATTGTTAAGCCTCGAAGCCAAACATGCAGTACCTTCAAAATTCATGAACTGTAACTAACATTTGTGCAACGTTCACTACATCATGAAACAGACAAGTGAATTCTTACTTTGATTTTCCCATATGTCAAAAAAGACACCACCATCCCCAACTTGGGATTTTGTCAAGTTTGAGTTTAATCCAGTATCGTATTGGAGAAGTGTAACTTGTACAAAGCAACAAAGAATGGCACATGTAAGACTTCTGCTCCACAAACTGCCCTGGGCATCGGTTTGCTTCTGGGTTCAATCAAGGGGTTAGTTATGTCTTACAAGACATGTATATGACCAGGCTACCTACATAATGAGCCACAGTGGTGCAGCGGTTAGAGTGCAGTCCTGCAGGCTATTTCTGCTGACTGCCTGCAATTTGGCAGTTCAAATCTCCCCAGGCTCAAATTGACTCAGCCTTCCATCCTTCCAAGTTCGGTAAAATGAGGACCCAGAGTGTTGGTGGGCAATATTCTGACTCTGTAAACTGCTTAGAGAGGGCTGTAACAAAGCACTGTGAAGCGGTATATAAGTCCAAGTGCTATTGCTCTTGTTATAATACATAATCGGCTTCATCCAATTCCTGTACATTGGCCCATTTCACCTGATCAGGCAGCGATGTTGCAGACCTTGTCGGTTAAAGAACTCTGACTGGAGGGGTGTAGGAAGAGATTCTTCCCTGGCATTGCCCCCTACCCTGTGGAATATCCTCCCCTCCCCCCACCCTCACTCTCCTGGCCTTCTGAAAAGGAGTTAAAACATAGCTCTTTGACCTCACATGGAGAACCCATGCGATTGTGGAGCTGCTTGGTGGCATGAGAACCTCCCAACACCTTGATTAAAATGTAACATAATTTTATATATTGTTTTTATACTTTAAGGTTTTATTGTACGCCACCCAGAGTCCCTCTCTGAAGGGGATGGGTGGTTCAGAAATGAGACATAATAAAATCAGATGAAACTGTCTTACATTCTTCTCTCTTACATCCCACCTTGCCCAAAGGGCTCTGCAATTCTTTACAGCAAAGATGGACACCTGGAGAAACCCTGTGATTTTATTGTCTGTAACATGAAGTAATGTAGTTTCATCTGTAAGCTGCCTCTAAACAGTTAAATAATCATAATATTTGTTATAGATGTCAGCTTTCAAAACTTTACCACTGAGGAACCTAAAGTATTAAAAATGTAATTCCTCAATGGTAGTTTTGAAAGCTGACATCCATGAATTTTTTTATATTTGGGGTCCGTAATAGATTTTCCACACTCCGAGACCCTTATTAACCCATATCAGTTTCTTGGCTGTCTTCAAAGTGCAACTCCAGGGCAAAATATTTTGTTCTGCTAATGAAAGGGAAAATGTTAGTAGAAAGGATATCTTTAGAGAGAGCAGTCGTCTTCTTTGTCTTTAAAAAAAAGTCTCTAACCTAGTTATCTATAAAGTAAGAATTAAGTGATTCAACCAGGCAAAAGAATGTTAATTTATTAAGTCATCAGCATGACACAGATATTAATGAACCAAACCTTAGTATGCTCATAACTTTCCTGATGTATTTGCAAAGCTATTCTTGTTTTCATTAAGTCATATTTTCCCAGCAGACATATGTGGTATAGCTTCTGAGAGCAAGACTTCTTTATAGGCAAATTTGGCATTTAAGCAATCAATCATACATCTTTTAACATTAGGCAGACAATTATATCAAAGCAAAATTGACCTATGTTCATCCAATCAAATAAATTGCAAGGAATATATAAGGTTTTTTTTTTTCCTTTCTCACTAGCTGAACAAAGAATCTACCCACAGGATTAAAGAAAAGTAAGAATTTTCTATTGCTATTCAAAGTTAAATTCTGTAAAATAATTTGTAATGAATGCAGTGTATGATCATGTAATTTTTTTAAAATGTTTTTTATTGACAGGCTGTCAATCATGGCAAACATGCAGCTTTTGGAACTTCAGGTTTTGATTTGCAGAAAGTCTCTAACACCTAAAAAGATTACATGATTATTTCATAACATATGATACTGTAAGCGTAACATAAGGCTACGTCTCTGAAGATAACAACCTGATAAATTCTGAAGAAACAGTGAAGCTCGACAAATTGCAGCCCACTGAAGAACAATTTCCACTTACTTCTTGCAGCCTTTTCTCCATTCCTAGTAATATTTGTCCTGTTTCATTTTTCTCACCAAGAGCATTCAGTAACAATCCATAATGGGACTGAGAGGTTTCTTGCACTAGATAGAGAAATCAATACAAACCACATTATTCTATCACCTGAATACATGAATTATGTCACTAAATATAGATTGTGAAGTGGATATACATTTAACACAGACAGAGGGCTAGAAAATTTACACAATGTTATTTGCTTTGACATTAAATTAACTAAAATACACTGCTCAAAAAAAATAAAGGGAACACTTAAACAACACAATGTAACTCCAAGTCAATCATACTTCTGTGAAATCAAACTGTCCACTTAGGTAGCAACACTGATTGACAATCAATTTCACATGCTGTTGTGCAAATGGAATAGACAACAGGTGGAAAGCATAGGCAGTTAGCAAGACATCCCCAATAAAGGAGTGGTTCTGCAAGTGGTGACCACAGACCAGTTCTCAGTTCCTATGCTTTCTGGCTGATGGTTTGGTCACTTTTGAATGCTGGCGATGCTTTCACTCCAGTGGTAGCATGAGACGGAGTCTACAACCCACACAACTGGCTCAGGTAGTGCAGCTCATCCAGGATGGCACATCAATGCGAGCTGTGGCAAGAAGGTTTGCTGTGTCTGTCAGCGTAGTGTCCAGAGCATGGAAGCGCTACCAGGAGACAGGCCAGTACATCAGGAGACGTGGAGGAGGCCGTAGGAGGGCAACAACCCAGCATCAGGACCACTACCTCCGCCTTTGTGCAAGGAGGGACAGGAGGAGCACTGCCAGAGCCCTGCAAAATGACCTCCAGCGGGCCACAAATGTGCATGTGGCTGCTCAAACGGTCAGAAACAGACTCCATGAGGGTGGTATGAGGGCCTGACGTCCACAGGTGGGGGTTGTGCTTAGAGCTCAACACCGTGCAGGACGTTTGGCATTTGCCAGAGAACACCAAGATTGGCAAATTCACCACTGGCGCCCTGTGCTCTTCACAGATGAAAGCAGGTTCACACTGAGCACATGTGACAGATGTGACAGGGTCTGGAGACGCCGTGGAGAACGTTCTGCTGCCTGCAACATCCTCCAGCATGACCGGTTTGGCAGTGGATCAGTAATGGTGTGGGGTGGCATTTCTTTAGGGGGCCGCACAGTCCTCCATGTGCTCACCAGAGGTAGCCTGACTGCCATTATGTACCAAGATGAGATCCTCAGACCCCTTGTGAGACCATATGCTGGTGCGGTTGGCCCTGGGTTCCTCCTAATGCAAGACAATGCTAGACCTCATGTGGCTGGAGTGCGTCAGCAGTTCCTGCAAGACAAAGGCATTGATGCTATGGACTGGCCCGCCCGTTCCCGACCTGAATCCAATTGAGCACATCTGGGACATCATGTCTCGCTCCATCCACCAATGCCACGTTGCACCAGACTGTCCAGGAGTTGGGGGATGTTTTAGTTCAGGTGTGGGGGGAGATCCCTCAGGAGACCACCCACCACCTCATCAGGAGCATGCCCAGGCATTGTAGGGAGGTCATACAGGTACGTGGAGGCCACACACACTACTGAGCCTCATTTTGACTTGTTTTAAGGATATTACATCAAAGTTGGATCAGCCTGTAGTGTTTTTTTCCACTTTACTTTTGAGTGTAACTCCAAATCCAGACCTCCATGGGTTGCTAAATTTGATTTCCATTGATAATTTTTGTGGGATTTTGTTGTCAGCACATTCAACTATGTAATGAACAAAGTATTTAATAAGAATATTTCATTCATTCAGATCTAGGATGTCTTATTTTTGTGTTCCCTTTATTTTTTTGAGCAGTGTACTTTAAGAACTATATGTTGTCATTTTAATTTGATCTGTGAAGTTATTTTTGTTACAATGATCTGGTAAGGATAATCCTCTCAAAATATTACTTTTTATTATTTTACTGCTACTCAGAATCAACATCCAAAATAATTTTATTCTTCAACCAATTCTGCCTTTCCTCCATACCCTTATTTCTCCATTTCTGTTCTGATCCCACAACTGTGAATAGTTAAAAACCTCAAACACATTTGATGATGTAGACTAAGATCCACAAAAGCTAATGTGATAATAATTATGTTAATATTGAAAGAGCTATGAGACTCTTGTGATGGCTTTGCACAATGAAAATAGACATTCTAACCAGTTGGTAGCTTTTGTCTTAGCTGTATCCATTTATGGATTATAGACAGAGAAACCAGGCTGTGCTAATTTCTACATATCTGTCTTGAATGCATAATTTACTGTGCCTTTTTGTTCTGTTCCACTCCTGGAGCATGTTCCTGAATATTCAACTTGGGAGATACTGACATCCACACAGAATCAAAGGAGAATACTTTCCTCGAATAACATTTTGAAATTTGTCTAGCTGAGGTTCTGGAAAGCCTTCCACAATGTATTTATAGCATTTGTTTAATAACTTATATGGCTACCCAGCTTATGTTCAGTAGCCCTGAGCAGCTCACAAAAATAGTAATAAAAACATAAATGGAAACAATAATCCAAGAGCAAAAAAGATCATTCCTGGCAGCCCCCAAAACACCCCTCCGTATATCTACATTACAGTTACTTAGCAACATTCATCCTACAATCCAAAACTTGGAGGAGAGTTCTTCAAAGGGTTAATCCATCAAGGGAGATGTGAGAGATAATAGTTCAGATTTCCAGCAGGGAGGGGCTGCATTCCAGAGGAGCCAAGAGACGACAGCAAAGTTTAGATAGTTTGGTTGGAAGGGGAACAAGACAGCTTCTCCCTAGGAGTTCTCAGAGTATATCATTAATGATGCCAGTGCTACGCTTTAATTTGGCAAGATTTCTGTCTACAGGCGAGGAACAATAAAGGAAACTGCTTTGAAGAAACTCAGTGTGTCTTTCTTGGTTTTTTTGAAGCCTGACATTAATCTTGCCAAACAAAAGCAAACTCCTTGCATCATTAAAGATATAATACTCAGAGGACTCCTAGCAAGGAGCTGTCTTGACAATCTTCCTCCCAAATCAAACTATCAAAACTTCCCTGTCTCTTGTTCCTCTGGAATGCAGCCTCTCCTTGCTGAGAATCTAGACTATATTCCACCACAGGGTAAAGTTCACGACCATGGTACAGAGCACTCAATCCAATTCCATCATTCCACATCTACTCTAATGACTAAGGTGAGAATAGAATGGAATGGAATAGAATAGAATGAGTTGGAAGGGACCTTGGAGGTCTTCTAGTCCAACCCCCTACTTAGGCAGGAAACCCTACACCACTTCAGACAAATGGTTATCCATTCTCTTCTTAAAAACTTCCAGTGTTGGAGCATTCACGATTTCTGGAAGCAAGTTGTTCCACCGATTATTTGTTCTAACTGTCAGGAAATTCCTCCTCAGTTCTAGGTTGCTTCTCTCCTTGATTAGTTTCCCCCCATTGCTTCTTGTCCTTCCCTCAGGTGCTTTGGAGAATAGCTTGACTCCCTCTTCTTTGTGGCAGCCCCTGAGATACTGGAAGTCACCTCTAGTCCTTCTTTTCATAAGACTAGACATACTCAGTTCCAGCAACCGTTCTTTATATAGGTAGTTGGTGGATAACCCCTGCCATTTGGTACTTGCACCAAGTTGCTTGTTTTATAAAATCTTGCCTGATTGTGGAATATGGATAATATAGTTGAATGGACATGATGGATACTCATGTTCCATTGTGTACCACATTTTAGCTTTTTCAGATCCTAATTTGCTAGAAGACAAATGCATTGTCAATACTATGTTTACCAAGGGAATAGCTTCAATTGTAGCTAACTGAAAAGGATAATTCTGATTTCAATTACTGAATTTGCATTTTCAAATGTGTGGTTTGATTATAATTGGGCGAGACAGACTCCTAGTTCTGGTATGGTCTCATAGTATTCCCCAAGTCATTTAATGAATTGACTATGCTGAGAGAACTGAATAGATGGAATTTATTTTCAGTTTCCCAAGTACTTCTCCAATTTTCTCCCATTTATTCAAATGAATAGCTGATAAAAATTATAAAGTCTATGTTTATAATTCCATCAAGCGCTGTTAAGACAATATGTTTAGGAATTAGCTTGTTTCTGATTTCCTGGCTAAACCTAGAACATCTGAAAGCGAAAATTGTCTTTGATGTACAAAGTAGCAGTCAGTCTCTCCAAAAAGTGGTCCTTTCGCACATGTTACAAAACTAGGGAGAATTGCTCAGAGAACAGGCAAGATAAAACAATGAGAAAAAAGAAAAGTAAGGACTTGCCTGTGAATTCAACCTGTATAGTAGGTGAATTATCCTTACAAATCTGCTGAAACCCAAGAGTTTATTTTAGTTGGCTGAGTATAAAGATTGTATTTCGAATTCTGTGTGTGATTGTTGCCTTCCCTTATTTTCACCTTATATCCCATTTTTCCCCAAACAATTCTTCATAACTAGAAATTTGGCTTCATTGGCTTTATAAAATAATTTCTCATTACAGGATTAGTGTATGGTTTGCTAAGTTCTATAATTCTGGGCTTGGGGCAGGAAGATCAAAAATAGTTTGCCTTCTATTTTCCTAACTTTGGGTGAATTTGGAAGTCCTGGGTAAAATCACTAAGAACAGCATGATGGCTGGGGAATTTGGGAAGTTGAAGTCCACAAACCCAAAATTTGGTAATGTTGAGAAACACTGGCCTAGGGTAGGGTATGTCAGGAGTTTCATTTATTTATTTATCAAATTTATCAAAAAGTGAAGTTTGATTGGTGGCAATCTAATCATAATTATCTCTTATTAGAGAATTAAGGGGCGTGCATAAGTGCACCACCGTGCCTCCCGTCCCTCTCCTATTGTCCCCTATTCGTACCTATTTCCTGTATTCTTACTCATGTTTATACTTATACCTATTATCTTGTAAGCGATTGACAAATCAAATAAATAAAAATAAATAAATAAACCCCTGGAAGAAAAAAAAAACCTTCCACAATGGTTTTAAATTATTTCTCCTCTAGTTTCAAATAATGAAATACATCAGGCATATTTACAAGAACTTCAGCTTAGGTATTGCTATCTCTGATTATTTTGGTAACAGTTGAGAT